GAGGAAAATGCCATGATAATTAGTTTTGATTTTGATGATAATAACTGCCTCTGGTTTTATAGATCGCCTTCAGTGGTTCCCCTTTGGCAGTTTCCCAAACGTGTAATTGGGAGGAAGGCCACACCAAACTTACGCTTTTGACCCATAACCCCAACCCATTTGCCTCTACAGACTTTCGTGACAGAGACACTCACAAGTTAAGCTATTTAGCAATATTTGCTCAAAGTCTATCACGTTCAATGATAATAGAGCGTTTTTAGCGGGATTTCAGTTTCGTGTGAAACCTCTAACTGCATTAACAGTGTCTAAATACTTCTATGGTCAAATGCTTGGAAAGGTTTTTTTGTTATTCCAAGACAGCCAAATCAAAATATATATAACAAATTCAGTATTTGTGGGCCTTCGCTGCATGCCTCTTTCCCATCTCAAGTGTCGCCGGTTTACACTTTTTACCGACTAGAAATAAACATCCTGTAATTACCGGTTCGTATTGTTTATTTGACGGGTTTCTGTTACGCAAAAAAATTTTTGCAAGTATCAGTGTACAGGCGTAGTCTATCCCGGGTGTCCTTATAAGCTGGAGTCAGTTTCTTTTGGAATCATACATAAGTACGCCGGGTTAGCATACGAGTCTCCATTCGTTTTACTGAAAGTGAAAAGCAGCTACGAAAAGGTAAGCTCACATTATTTTGAAGCACTTACAAGTTCAGCGCGGCTTGTAGAAGCTATTACCTTTAACAAAGAAACAATTAGTGTATTGGCATTTAATTTACATTTCTCCAATAGATTAATTGAATTAATGAGAAAACGTCGTACTGCGTAGGTATTTGGGTTCATACCCTTCGGAGCATAGAGATATTCTCTCGTCTCAATACATATACCGAAAGGAATTTTTCTAAACTACATCTACAAAACTACAAGAATTCTTCTCTGAATATTGAGCACCAGACAAGAAAACTTTAATACGACCTCTTTTACAGAATATCTGAATAAGAGAAAAACGAGTCAATATTTGCCATCCCGGCCTCGCAAAACTCGCTCTCTTGAGCTCCAGAATTTTTCGTCAACGTGCAATTATTATCTACGCAAAAAAATTTTCCTCGGGAAAATTTTTATCAACAAAAAAGTCCTAACTGCTCCATTTTGTAATTGAAGTTTATCTTTATCATTAATCAGACTGCATAGCCTCTGTTGTTGCTCACTGATGCACCTTAGAAGTAAAACATGCAGAAATGAGCACATCAATCAATTAACATCTTGTAGCGAGCACTAGGTAAGATGTGCTAATTTACCCATTCTTGAACTTGTCAAACATCCATAATTAAGTCATTAAGTTCAAGCTGGCTACCTCCTCGTTACGACGACATTTTTTCTGATACGATTGCAAAAGTTATGAATAGACAGATTCTGCACTTACTTGATCCAGGAGGAAGTCGCATAATAAGCATCAGCAGACGTTTTGATAATGTTCCACCCACTTAGGTCGACATTGTAAGTTGCTTTGATACAACAATAAACATGTGATGAGGTAACTATTTCTGATAACGCTATTTGCTTCACTCACCACGTGGTCGATGTGACCCTATGAGTTGCTTTGATATAACGCTAAACATGATGCAAACAGTGATCAAGTAACTACTTCTAATAACGCTATATGCTTTATTCAGCCTGTGGTCGATGTGACCTTATAAGTTGCTTGGATACAACGCTAAACAAGATGCAAACAGTGATCAGGTAACTACTTCTCATGACGCTCATTTCCCTTTTTCAGCCTGTGGACGTGAGTAAAATAAGTTAATAAAATTAAAGTTGGAGCGGGGTTACGCTCTCTTAATCTGTTTGTACTAGACACCGCGTTCCACTAAGCAGAATTGATACCAAGGATCATGGTTTTTTTTAAGGTGTACAGTTTTTATATTTAGTTTTCAAGTTCTCTTTCATGCTCGTAACCACTGACCCCTTTGAACAGGTGATGTATCTGTAAATTTAAACGAGGAAATAATTTCTGGCATACGGTTAACATTTCGTTTGTTTGAATGGACCGTACGTGTCACAAATGTGTTTAATGACACCAATAACAGATTCACATCGGTCACGTATTTATTAGTTTCTTGGCTTCGCGCCTTGCACAATTGATTCCTACATAATAATAACACGATCATGGTCACGTAGTTGTCGGTTACTCTCTCGACCTTAAAAGCAATAAATTTCTCAAAGTTAAGTTCATTTACTTTAATAAGGCAACTCAAGCACAGCTATTGAGAAGGTAGGCATCCATGGCTATAATCAACTGTTTTTGCACTTTTCATTGAGACCCTCCTGTATGTATGTATCCATAGGAACTGTACTATTTAAACACATTTGTGACACGTACGAACCCTTCAAACAAGCGATTCCTTGAAACTTCCGATTTAAGGTCTTTAGTAGTATCGATTTTTAACCCCTGAACTAAACAAATTTGTTTGCAACGGTTTCCTTGAATTAAGACTTATTCCCTCGGCGAATTAGGACAGTGGAAAAGGACACCTCATTGTAAATTCAAAGTTCAGAGCGGATACACTGATGTAGTATGGACCATCAATACCATGTTTCACAAACGAAATTTTAAAGCACAGTTTTTTTTTGCCTTTTCCCATTCCGATGGCCCCGTTCCCAGGATTTTTGTGAAATTGTCCAACCTCTCCGATTCAACTTCCAGTTAGCCTGCAGCACATAACCGCATAATTTACTTGGCTATACATCCGATGTTCAATCATTCAGCCAACATCGAGCATATGAAAATAACGTTTCTCACATCATGCTATTTCATTTGCAAATATGTGGAGAGTTACAGGAGGGCATAAGTCCAGAAAAACAGGTGGCGGGAGAGAGCGGGAGGCGGGATTATTTGAGGGCAGGATGCGGGAGCAGAGAGCAGAACGGCAACTTGCTTGCTGTTTATTTATTTAAGGGCAAGATGCGGGAACAGAGAGCAAAACGGAAACTTGATTGTTGTTTATTACATCCAGTCAAACACCAGTACCCAGCAAAGGTTTTTGACCTCTATCTAAACGTCCACCGAGGCGTAAAATAGAATTTTATAAACGAGAAAACATAATTTGTTTTTCACAGGCTGAAAAAATAACAGCTTAATAGCGGTGAAATTGGATACGTATTGAAGTCGGAGTTTCGAAACTCTTTACGCTGGCCAATTGGTGATTTTCTCTCTCACGCCACCAAAATCCAAGAGAGTGGGCTATTTTAGAATATTGATATAAGTAAAATTTGCCCAATTTTCAGGTCTGTAGGGTTTTTCGCCGGCGGTGACAGCGTTCAGGTGATACTGAGATTATTACTCAACGACCTCCACTTGACAAAAATATTAAAAATCATATCCATAACCGCAAGAATTCAAAGACGTGACTGACAACGTTATAATGCAAGGCAGATTACACTGAAACGTGAGTTAATAGAATTCCATGGCTAGGCAGTCGAAGTAAAAAAAAGAAAGGCTTTGTCTGCCTGGGAAATAACGATTGTGTGAATGCCGAAGAAGGAAAATAGAGAGCATGCAAGAGTAGATTACCACTAAACGAAACCAATTGATAAAGACGGCATAACTTACGTGCAAACTTTAGTTATCTTCAGTATTAATATGATATGGCTAAAGATTTAGCATGGGGCGAGGAAACCCCTAGGGAAATAAAGAAGCTTATGCGAGCTACAGGCTCCTCATATTTTTTCAAAAGTGAGGTATCAGTTTTATGGCGTGATTTATGTACAAAATATTTAAGGTTGAAAAGGAAAGGTCGCACACACATAAAACAATAACAACAACAGTAGGTACTCAAACAAACATTTACTTAAGCAGGGTGAGAAAAGTAAGAAAAAAAACAATAATAATAAAAAAGAATAAATAAATAAAAAAGAACAACAATGGAGCCAACTTAGGAGTAATGTTCGCAACTTAGACTTAAACAGGGAAAGTGTGCCCATGTTTTGGATTTCTATATTCAGAGAATTGAAAAATTTAAGTCCTTGGAAACATAACGCAAACTGTTTGATATTTGTTCTGCAAGAGGGGATGTAAAAGGAATTGTATTGTCTGGTAAAATACCAATGATTGCTACTCGAAAACGAAAATAATCTTTGCGTTGTCCATACATTGAAAGTGAGTATCGTTTGTTTCTGTAAACCACAACTCGTGAAAGTTCAATTTTTCTGAAGGCTCAATAGCTATAGTAAAGAAAACTGTTTTCATTATTTCGTTACCGTTTGCTTCACTTGTACCACATAAACAACGATATGAAGCCTAGTGAACACACATCGATCAAATTTTGTATCCTGCACGACCATCATAAGGTACTGGTTCTAGAAAAAGTCAAGCATTCGAAAAGAAGTCACAAGATTTGATGGATGAAGAAGTTTCGTGTTTCTGTAAATTAAAGCTATGCATGCCTCGACTTCAGGGATTAGAATCATAAATACTTATCAACATATTTTGATTTTTGGTTATCAGGGAACATTTTAGAACTTCTGCTCTAATGAAAAATAGATATTTTAAAATATCAATAATTTTTTAAAAATCTACAAATTAGAGAGGAGCAAATTAAAAGTTGGCAGAAAACGTGGGCCAATTTCAAAGACGTGTCATTAGAACACGTAAATAGGCTTATTCATTTTAATGCATTGACAGTGAAGTTCACACAACCAACAAAAGTCGCGAATTACCAGGTTGATAACAGAGCTCATTGTTAGTACTCTGCCATAATTTAATAAAGCAAGCGAAATGCATTCCGAAATTTGTGCTTCGTTCTCAATCGAAAATCACGCCATAGATAAAATGACCATTTGCCTGCAGACTTTGTGGTAAAAAGTTATTCTCCACCCAATTTGCGACAATGCTTCTTACCTTAGGCAGCTGTAGAATTGGCTCAAAACACGCTGATCTGTAAAAATCTTGATTAACGACTTTTTGCGATGACTTTCCTTACCAGTTTTGTTCAGATCGCGGAATAAAAATGTCCTTAGCAATGCTGAAAGATCCCAACCACACAATTACAGAGAATGGTGTTCATTGCTCAAATTCAGACTGCGTACTCCCAATGTGCATCAACTCAAAGCTTGGTAGCCTTATCAAGAAAAGCACTGACTGCAAAAGAGCCGAAAATTCTAAGGCAACTACGGATACGAGCCTGAAAAATGCAGCTGACTGTAAAATGAACAGCGTCGCCGAAAATGGAGATATGGAGCAATGGTGGAGAGACCTTCAAAGCTTGGGGATTCTGGATCAGTTTCCCAGTAACACCCACACTGACCGGTCATTCCTCTATGAACAAAATGATTCTTCTCCCAGTCAGTTAGGCGCAATACTAAGACCATGTTTCAGCCAAGGGATCCGAGTGCTTGGAAATCAAACACAACCTTGTATACAACAGGTGCATCCAGGCTCTTCTACTGTCCCCAATCTACCTTTCTTTGGTGATGGACTCTACCAAGACACACAAACGGTGGTAACAAACCCCTTAATTCAGTCTGGAATTGCCAAACATGAAGCATACCCACTGAATGACTCTGATGCATCCAGGTCTGCCAAGTCTGGAAAGTTGTTTGAGATTCTCTCCTTGATCTTTCAGGCTCTTGAGGGCCCTCATACAGCAAATCTTGAGGAGCACTATGCATCTGCGTTACAGAAGGCCCTTCATGAAATTCAAGCGGTTAAGAGTCTGTGTCATCATTAGAGAATGAAATATTCATTCACTTCTGCCACAAGAAGAAACAGCCCAGTCTTCTAATAAACTTAAAGCATAAGGTTTTCTTAAACGACTGGTACATGCATAGGGCTACAAGCTATAGAGTCTGTCCTTAGTGGAGTTTACCAAGTACCTAGGTAGATGCATGCTATGAGGTACGTTTTTTGATGCACGTTTTAATGCATTACCACCACAGAAACGATGTACATATGATCAAATTAATTTTAGGAACTCAATAGCCTCCGAAATGACAACCAACAATGAAAGTTCATCATTAAAATTTTATTGTAGATCCTCTACAGATATAGGGACTACAATTATTTGCTACACTGAAACACCCAACAAAATTCTATGATTTAGACAGATCACAACTGATTCTTCGAATTTAAATGTAAATATGTAAGCAATTGTTACTTACGTAAATGTTTCTTGTAATTAGTTGTTTTTTTTTTATATCATCATTATTATTTTATGGTTGTCCTCCTTAATGTTGCTTTTCTTTGTGTAATTCGGTAGCTATGATAGAGGCTATTACACCAGACGTGTATTAAATATTATATATTTGATTGAATTGGACACCTTAAGAGATAGTTAATATATTTCTTAGATAACTGCTTCTGAATGCTGTTAAATCCCTTCTTACAACTTCCGTACAGTACCTCTCGGCTATGAAATGTTTGTAAAAAGTCATCAAATTTTATAGTGGTATTTAGGTAGGTGACTGCATAAAGAAGCTGAAATATACTTATGTCTATATCATATGAATGGAGTTTTGAAAAGAGGGCCGGCAAGATGACTCAACTCCCCTCAGTATTAAAAACCCTTACAGTCCCACTAACTAGGGAAACAATCTCACCAAGATCTCCGCTTGCTGTAGCCATTCACGTCCTGTTGACACTTTCGCGTCCTGCTGAATACTCCCTAAAACTCCCTAAAACTCCTGATATCCCGCGTGAGATTCAAGTAAAATCCTAATCAAGTTAAAACAATAACCCTGTGCTGCTACTGCTAGTCATTATAGGAAAAGCACAGAAACATACATTCGCGTTACGGCTTTGTGTTCCGCCCCACTCCCCTTGGAATTAGTCAACGGGGCACTAAATGTATATTGACCAATAGACCCAGACCCGATAGACCTATTCATTCCCCCCCCCCCTCCCCTCTTGCTTGTCGTGATATACCTGGCACGGAGAAGAGAGAGAAGATGGCTCAAATTTAGCTCTTGAGTCAGAAGTAGCACTCAAAGAGTGAAAATACGGTTTTTTACGACCACCCCACTCCCCTGGGGTTAGACCAGGAGACTCCAAATGCACACTGAGTTGTAGCCCTGACCCTACAGAGTTTGTTGATATCAACTTAGATGGAGTTTCCGCTCAGAACAGTGGACGCGAGTAAAAATAGTTAATAAATTAAAGTTGGAGCGGGATTACGCCCTCTTAATCTGTTTGTACTAGACACCGCGTTCCACTGGGCAGAATTGATACTAAGGATCTTGGTTTTTATCAGGTTGTACAGTTTTTATATTTAGTTTTCAAGTTCTCTTTCATGCTCGTAACCACTGACCCTTTGGAACTAGTGGTGTATCTGTAAATTTGTACGAGGAAATAATGTCTGACATACGGTTAACATTTCAACATTTACATGACATCAGTTCCCATGGAACTCCATAAAGGTTCGTTTGTTTGAATGGACGTAAGTGTCACAAATGTGTTTGGTGAGACTGATAACAAATTCACAGCGATCACGTACTAATCAGTGACTTGGCTTCGTGCCTTGCACAATTGGTTCTTACATACCAATAACACGATCATGGTCACGTAATTATCGGTTAGTCTCTCGACCTTAAAAGCGACAAATTTCCTAAAGTTAAGTCCATACACTCTAATTAGGAGACTCGACCATACCTCTTGAAAAGGTAGGCATCCATAAGCATAACCGCAAGAGTTCAAAGACTTGACTGACAACGTTATAATATAAGGCAGATTACACTGAAACGTGAGTTAATGGATAAGGCTTTGTCTGCCTAGGAAATAACAATTGTGTGAATGCCGAAAAAGGAAAATGGAGAGCATGAAACCGTCGATTACCACTGAACGAAACCAAACGATAAAGACGGCATAACTTAAGTACAAACTTAAGTTATCTACGGTACGACTACGAAGGCCTAAGGTTCTTCAGTTTTGTGCCAACTTGCATAATAGAAAGGGCCAGGTAGCCAAATGGAAAATCAAATCGGATAGCTTGCTCGTGATCCTGTGACTGTAATAGCTACAGGATATTTAATAACAACGCTAAGCTAGCTACGTGATGGTACGTGGCGTGATCAAAGCGTCTGTGATCTAGGAAAAGGTATGACTTCAGTTTAACAACAAATAAGACTGAAGCAAATTTCCCAGTGATGCGTCATACACTTTTTAAGCATGTTTTGCCGGCTAAGATGCTCCTCAGAAATCTTGAAGAAAATAATTAAGAAAAGGACGTTTGAAAACTAACTAAATAATTTGAAAATTATTGAGGTTGACACTAACGATGATTTGTGACAACAAATCAACATGCACTGAATAGATCTCCAATTAAATAGCTGAATAGGAACTGCTAACTAAAAAGAAGAAGGGATGTATGATTCTGATAATTTACTAGGATTAATTTACACGAATCTCAGTTACTATTTAAAAAAAGCCATCCGGACAACGGCTATTACTACTTTAAATCATTTAAATCATAGGATGTCGTAACTGCTACTTTGTACAATTTATGAAGCAGGCAATTGTCCAATTATTCTTGACGCTTAAATACAAAACCTTTCGACAAAACTTATCACAACAAACTGTTGAAACAGAGACCGTCGCCTTTGCACCCTCCAAGTATCAATTACTATCTGTAGTCAGTAAAGAGTTTTAGTTCCACCTTTGGAGTGTTCATCGCAAATGTCGAACCGCGGTCGGCAGTTTTTGGTTAGAAGTTAGAGGTTTCGAGACTCTCAGCTTTTTAGATCGACGTCGGATTTCTTCTGAGAAAAAAATCAACATGTATGCCGCAATCTTGAATTAGACAAAAATATGGCTTTTGTGCTTCCTTGCTTTAGATCTAAACAATTAGCTTGAAAAGCGAAATGATTAAAGTGGTTGTAGACAAAATACATGAAAAAACTGCACCTCACTTATGAAGAATGTTTCGTTGTTTGATTATTGTAGAGCTAAACGCTACAGAGTTGCTATGTTCACTGATACGTTTATCATTCATCCTTCTTATCATGTTCTCACTAAATTCAAAACCATAAAAAAATTCACGAGCGTGATTGGTTATCACCAGCCCGATTTGAGCACTAATAGGACAGTGCGCGCGTCATGCTTGTAATAAGAAAGTGTAATAGGACAGTTCCAGGGACATTTAACATGTCATGCCTGTACGAGTGGACAGAACGCATCATGGGCGCGCGCTGTTATCTTGCATTTCGCCGAGTTATCTGTTGTTGTTGTTGTTTTTTTTAAGAAAACGTATAACCGATGTCTAGCCGCGGTTGGACCTAGTTTCTTTCTGGAATTTTGTCATAGTTTTGATTAATTGGTAACAGGACTTCCTGTCGTCCAATTCTATCTGTGATCATACCGTGATCAACAAATCGGACTCTCGCTTCGCGGTCGACCGATTTTGTTGATCACTCGTATGATTACAGATCAAGTTAGACTCCAATCGGTCCTATTACCATTATTAAGTGGCGATCTCTGTAAGAGCAGTCCAGGGCATTTTGCATCAGAAAAAAGGTTTCCCCCAAATTTTGCTTAATAAACTATCTTTGGTAACAAGTAAATAAAACCACATTAGTTTCTGGAAATACGTTAAAATAAAATTTCAAAAGTTGAATAGCCCGGTCCTCGCGTCACACCGCATGCAGTAAAAAATATTTTGTATCCTTAAACTGTGTGTGTTATATAAGGTGTATAAAATAAATTTCAAATTTGATATTTGTTTATTCAGAGGCTCGTCATAATTTATTAAAAACACTCGTTGGATAGCTTTCTGAAAGTGGTCGGAAGTACTCTTTCTTTCTTGGTTGATATTGCTCAAGTCCAGACCAGACCATTAAAAACTCCGCTTGATTTCTGCTAATAAGATGTTTGGCTGCAGAAAATATAAAAACATCTTGCACTTATTTATTTTCTCCGCCGAGGTGACTTCGTACTTTAAGCGATACTGCTAGCGTGACAGCCGATTATGCAAATTAGTTCATTGAGCAAACTCCGACCGTTTTATAAGAGTAGCTCAATAAATCTTAGATTTTAATCATGTCAAGTAGAAGGAAAGAGCTTTAAGACCACACCGATTAATACTTTAAACATTTTAAAAGGCCAAAATTTGACAAATTTTATCATCTCGTGACGAAAGACGTCAATAACAACATATCGAATATCATAATTTGATTAGCGCTCACAAACTCTTTTTTAAAAATTTGGCTTCTGTTATTTCATATTTGAGTTCTGACAGCTTACGCTATTCAAACCTGTATGAACATTTCAAACCAAACTACAGGATTCTGTTTAGTGTAACGGGCGATAACAGCACACACTGAAATACACCGTGACCAGTGACTCTGTCACGTAATTCCATCGTGTAATCGTCCTGAATACTTCTCACGTCTTAATAAAGCAGAGATTGCTCGGATTTCTAGCTGAAAGGAAAAAAATTTGGTCGTCACACTTGTCTGCATAGCAGTCTCTGTTCATTAGTTTGGAGAGTTCTTGTGAAAAAGGACACCGCATTCGCATGACGGGTGGACGTCATAACTAGATTGCGTAACAACTGCACTCCGAAATCATTTCCTCCATTATGCAAGAGGTACTGCATTCGTATCTCACATTTCCAATGCGAGCTCAGAATGTTTGCACATGTCTCTTAGCATCCTGACTTTGAGGCTTGGCAACCTTGCTTCTCTTACCAACTAGCACACATCATAGATATCAACTCTTCGTCTACATCTGACGCGAATG